TAAATATTTATGCTTCTTAATCACCTAATTAATATAATTAATTAATACTGATATCTCAAGTATTGATCATCACATTTGAATAAAACTTGGTACATAAGTGCTCTAGGACAATAGACAGCCTGATTAATTTTGGGTTAAAATCTGTTCATATTAATTCTCTAATTAGCATAATAATTAATATTATTTTGGTTCTAATCACATTTCAATGAAACTTGTTACATTGTTTAGACCTTATTAGTTTTACACTTAAATCTGTTCATATTAGTTACCTAATTTGCATAATTAGTTTTCTGCGTTTCCATCAACATCTCAAGTTCAAGTAATTTTTAATTAATTTTGAATGTGTCTCCAATACTCTCTCAGCACACGGGAGTTCTTTCTAAGCTTTCTTTGATTTCTGTGATTTGTTTGGTATGAACAACGGTTCATTCATACTTTTGACTTAACTCAAGAATATTGATTTATTCAGGCCACAAATCTAACCCAATAGATGCTGGCAACTAAAAAAATCATGTGCAGAGGTGATTCTTGTAAATTCAAGTGCCAAATTTTGTGTGCAGTGTTCCCATATGGCTCCCTTTAATTTGACGCTGTTCAGAGCACTAAAAACTAAAACAGCTCTGTGTTGATACAGTGAATAACACACTGATGCTTACTTATTATATTGATTACACTGATTTAAAAATGCATTGTTAGATTTCATTTAAACATTGCACAAACAATTACGTACTGCAGATTTGCATAATTTTTTCTTTATGCATAATATTGAGTACCGTTAAAATCCTAATATAAACCAGGGTTTATATTACAATGTATCAAATAAAAAATTTGGATCAACAGCTCAAGTTCGGGGTGCGGTTTCTATTACGTACATATTGCAATCACTTAATGGGCGTGGTCATTTTCCCCCCACATCACTTGCACAAAACAAACAATACACCGTACAATCTTTTGAATATAAGCGTAACTCCAATTTAGATGTCAGGGAAGAGTGACGTCACGTCACAAAAAAACTGTTCACATGAAAAAAAAATACTCTGTATATTTAATGTAATATGCATTTATTTTTTTTAGCTCCGCTGTCGACTTTGTCGAGCGGAGCTTATCATATAAGTGATTGTCCGTCGTCCGTCGTCGTCGTCCGTGTCAATGTTTTACTTTTTCGACTTCTTCTTGAAAACTACAAGCCTGAATGCTTTGATACTTGGTGTATATGTACCTTGGGTAGACCTCTCTCAGATTTGTTCATTTCATGATGATATCTTCAATTCTCTAATTTTGGTGAATATTTTTGTCATTTTTAGTAAAAAGTGATATTTTCGACTTCTTGTTGAAAACCGCAAGTGCAATTGCTTTGATATTACATATATAGGTACTACATGTCGACCTCTCTCAGATTTGTTCATTTTGTAATGATATCTTCAATTCTCTAATTTTGGTGAATATTTTTGTAATTTTTGGTAAAAAGTGATATTTTCGACTTCTT